GGCTCGGATTCGGCAGGGCTCGAGTGGCGTCGTGGTGACAGCCCCTGCCAGCCGAGCGGGCTTTATTTTTTTTATTAATGCTTAAATCAGTAGGTGGTATGACAGTTTCTTAGAAACAGTGGAAACAGTTCAAGGTGGTATTTTCCAAGAGGGATTAGAAGTGCTCAAACAGTTAATTAAACTCCCGAAAAAAAAGAGGTCCCTGTTTATTAAAATTTGTCACAAGCCCGTGAAAGTAAAAACTGCCGGTGATTTATATTGAAGTGCTCGGTACTTCAGGAGGGTGTCTAAATGAAACGCTGGCCGGCAGCCAGAGATGACAAAACCGTCCTGTTGGAGAAGATTGCTCGGCTTGCAAAACGTCTCCGCAGGGGCAGGCGCAACGGCAGAGTCGGCCTTACTGCCCAGTTCTGTTTCCTAGGATGTTTAATAAAACATACGTTCAATTATTTGCGGCTTCTACTCACCAACTAACCCAGATGTGTCCTTCCGGAGAAAATACTCTGCTTTAGTTGGCATCTCACGCTTCGAGTTACTAGAGATGCTGCGGGATTGCGAACGGGGACGGGGGAGTTCTTATCACGGTGGAGTTTTACCCTCTCTGGAGTTAATCTGTTTTCTGTCTCTTTTGCTGGGTTTTTCTTATTTGCCCTGAATATTGTAAATAACTGATCTAAGCCATCCTAGACACCTGTACGCCAGGGATGAATCAAGGAAAGCTTATTCTGTTTAAAAAAAAAAAAAATGTTGGTAAACAGCTTTAAAATGTTTCAGGGGAGAAGAGAACAATTCCCCATATAAGACATCCAGATTTCCCAAATCCTTAAATTCAAAGTCAGCAGCCGTTCTGGATATCTGTTTTGCGAGTTCAGCGACTTCCACTTTTTTGTAGCGAAGAGTATTCATAGTGATTTCAGTTTTAAAAATGTATAAAATCAAAACAACATTTTCATTCAAAGTTTTTTGGGAAAAATCTGTTTTGCAAGACATTGCAAATTCCGTAATTCCAAAAAAAAATAAAAAGCCAAAAAATGGTTAATGAAGATTTCTATGCTCAGAGGAAAAGCTGTGGTACCCCAGCACTTTATACAGAAAGACACTACAACATACACGTACCTAATACTGACTCATGCGAGTAGATGAAATGCAGTTAATTTTTTTTTTTTGTAGGTACGAAGCAGTGGCACTTGATAAATCACCTGCAGCCAGAAACGTCTTACGACATTAAAATGCAGTGCTATAATGAAGGTGGTGAAAGCGAGTACAGCAACGTGATGATCTGCGAAACCAAAGGTGAGGCGCTTGGAAAGCGCATCTGCTGGTCTGCAAAGTATAAAGGGGGTATTTCGTTGCATAAAACTTGTCGTGTTGAATTTTTTTCATTTTGCAACGGACAAGTCTGCTGCGTCGAAGACTCTGGTTTTCCGGAATCCTTTGGGGGATTGCTTTGTCTCCTGTAGCTAGGATTGTTTTGAACGTGTGGAAACTGATACGTCGGGCTCCAAGAAAGACTCTCCGTAAAGCTCTGCAGATTTGTCTGGCCTAAGAGATGGTATTGTTGTTCTGGGGAGTTTTGTGCTGTGTTGATAGCCTCTCCTTAGGACGCAACCGTGCTCTTGAAGATGACAGAATTGATTTGTACGTCTGTTTTGTGTCTTCGGGGCTCTGTGACACGTTGTGTAAGTGCAGACCACAGCAATTGATGGTTATGTTGGCTGCCTCCATCGCTAATCCTGCATGCCTCTGGCACAAAGTTTGTACTGTTCTCTGGAAGTGTCAGATATGGCAGTCACATTTATTTTGCAAAGAATTCCTGTCTCCTTTAATCTCTAAAACCAAGTACGGCTGTAAAGGGAAAATGCAGACAGTAAACTTCAAATGCAGTGCTATGAAAAAGTGGGGGTTTTTTTCTTTTTTTTTTTTTTTCCTTAAGCCTCTAGGAGCGGAAGCATCAAAATTTAGTTAAGTTAGTAGCAAAGCCTTTGAAGGGAAGGCTAGGAGCTGCAGGGTTTGAGGAATACACTTCTCCCTAATTTAAAAAACGGGCAAGACGTAATCTGTTGTCGTTCGTACTGACTCTTCCTTAAAATGCGTTTCCCCCGATACTCAGGAGGTGATTCAACTCATCTGACATACCTGCTTCTCTCTGACCAGCTTCATTCCTAACCTAAGCACCTCTTCCAGGTTCCTAGTGCTAGATGGAACGAGTCTGAGCTGCGGTGTGTTGGAAACTAATGTAAATTTGAGTTCTAGATTAAACCAGCATCTTGTTTTCGGTGATTTCACTTCAACTCTTAATATCTCTAATAGTGTGGTTTTAAAAACAGGGTTAGCAGGGTTCACATCAGATAAAAGTAGGTCATCTGGCAGTGGTTAGACGATAGAAATGCATGTTGTGGTTTTTCCTGACCTCAGAAGTGGAAAGATTTGTGCTCTTTCAAGTTGGGAGTTAGTGCAGTTCTAGCTGAGTGTATGTCGAGTTGCTTGTTAAAGTTTCAAGTGACCTCAATGAGAGGGTTAGCAGGCTGGATAATAACCATTTTCCAAGGCAAATAGTTATTACCCAATAGTAGTTGGCTTCTTTATTATACTTTTTAATATTGACTTGGAAGCTTTCTCTTTGAGGCATTAGGATCTCAACTCCAGCAGTAATTATTTTCACTTCATAACTAAAAAAAAATACACGTAGAAACTCGTTTAATGAACGTACTCGTACTTGTCTCTTATTTCATCTAGTGAAACGCACGCCAGGAGCATCAGAATATCCAGTGAAAGACTTGAGCACACCACCAAATTCCCCTGACCGGGGTGGCGGAAGCGGAGCTGGGCCATCGAATGGCCCGGTTCGGAGCAGTGACATGCTGTATTTGATCGTGGGGTGCGTCCTCGGGGTGATGGTGCTTATTCTGATAGTTTTCATTGCCATGTGTCTGTGGAAGAACCGTCAACAAAATGCCATGCAGAGTGAGTTATTTTTGGTTCCCTTTCATGTTGGTGTTCAATATGAAAATATTATCTGGGTAAAATTAGTAACGTTCCTATTGCGTTTCCATGAACGGGAGACAGCACCCTGTTGTGAGCCAGCTGGTGTTTTTTTAGTGACATGTATTCTCTAGGTGTGCCTTCAGAGAAGGTGTGGGTGTTTTGTTTTTTTGTTTTTTGTTTTGTTTTTAAATGGCAATAACGTCCCTCTCTGAGGCTCCCTGCCCTGCTGCGTTATTGTAGGGTTGTGCTGCAGTTTTATCTAAACAATAGTGTGTGAAATGCCTGGGCAAAGTTCTTAGATTTATGTTTAACTTTAAGCAGCTGCATAGACTTCTGTTGATTGCAATGACTGAACTCATAAGTACTCGTTAAAATGTGGGGACTTAAACCCAACATCTCTTGCTCCATCTCTCTCTCCTCTCTCTCCTCTCTCTCCTCTCTCTCCTCTCTCTCCCATATATATATCTGGAAAGTGAAAGAACTTATAGCCCTTGAAGGACAAGTCCCTTGTTACCTACTAATCCCTTCACAATAAAAATTGGGTTGAATGTCCAAGTCTTTTAGAGGTGTTAATAAGGAAAACCTGCCAGTTTGCCAGTTAGGAGCATTGAGCAGACACATTGGAGCTTAAGCACACTTTGCAAGGTGCTGTATACCCACCAGCTAGTCTGTGCTAACAGAATCTCTTTAGTAGTCTTTTCTGTTCCCGATGCGTAAATCAACTTTGTTCTTTCCATAGCTTGTGGTTATTTTTAGATGTCCTTACTCTCTGACAATGAGAAATGAAGCAAAACTTCTCGAAAGATAAGATAGTGTCTTCAATTGCTGGCCAAAGATATTTTTTTGGAAGTAGTTTGTAAAAGATAGCAGAGAGTCTATCGATTATATAAATGGTCCGTTTTTAGAACGCTCCTCTTGGAGACTGACGTCAGCCAAGTCCTGTAAGACCAGTGTTCCTGGTCTGTTTTCCAGGGTACGGCTGTTTTCCATTTCTACATTTATATACTAAGCCCTTAAACATTGCAGTTAATTTACAAGACTGTAGAAAGGGAAGATAAGTGCCTCTTGTTTCTTAGAGGTGCTCGTTTAACTTCTCATTTGGTAGTCAGTATGCTTTCTGTAGCAAAATCATGGCAATAATGTCTGGATCTTTTGCAGAATATGACCCTCCTGGCTACCTCTATCAAGGGGCAGATATCAACGGGCAAGTGATTGAATACACGACCTTACCCGGCACGAGCCGTGTCAATGGCAGCATTCACGGAAACTTCATAAGCAACGGCGGCCTCAGCAACGGCTGTCCGCATGTCCATCATAAAGTCGCTAATGGAGTTAATGGGATCACGAATGGAGGAGCTGGACTCTACCCAGGGCACGCCAGCTCCCTTTCCCGGGCGCACGTGGACTATGAACATCCCCACCATCTTGTGAACGTAAGCTCTTACCCGGAGTGAAAGGCCCAGCCTCGACCTCGGGGATTTATTTGGAGTTTGTAGAAGCAGGCTTAGTTTGGGTGGGGAACTACTCCTCCATTGATAACAGCCAGTTCCACCAAATTATTCCTCCCAGAGGAGGCAACTGGGCTGTGATTTCTGATCCAAATATCGTGTTTCCATTTGAGACTTATCGGATGACAGCAAAAATTCCACTTACTCTGGGAAGTCTGCTTTTACCCTCCTCTTAACAGCATGTAAGCTTTGAGAATTCTTCCGTGCTGGGTTGAGATATGTTACTTGTACATATGGTATTTCTCAATCTTCAAGTGAAATAGATTTAATTATAGCTGCTTATTCTGCAGCTTTATGGATCACCCGTTTTCCCCCACCTGTTTCAGATCTGTAACTCTAAGCAATGCTATTAATTATACCAAAGCACGAATGTAGCAGGAGGTTCCATAAAATAAAACGGCCCATACGTCTCAAAATGCAGCAACGTAACGAGACTGTCTTTTCTAGTCCCTTGTTTTTAACTTTTGAGACAGACTCTTTTTTTTTTTGTTTTGAAATTTTAAGATAAAAATTAAAAACTAGTCTGAGTCTGTGATCCAGCCTTTGTATGCTGTGGAAAAATACTTCATTTGCTGAAATGTGTCCCGTTTCCAAGAGAGAATAATGATTTCATTATTGTCTATGGAAACAGATGGCTTGCATTCAAACTTACTAAACTTACTCAAAACTGTGAACATTGCCCAGGAAAACTGAAAGAAAAAGTTCAAAAAGTCTGAGTAACGCATGCTGTTTCTGGAGGAAAAAAAATGGGGCTATTGTTTGTGTTAGTAATTGAACACAAGCACTTCATTTTATTGAACAACAAATTAGTGCTGGCACAGTAGTTGTCGCTTCAGATAACTCCAGTTTTGAGTCTAGATTTTTTGGTTCTTCACCTGCTTTTCTCTGGTCTGCTCACGTAACAGAAGTGCAGCATTTCTGTTGCCTTAACGAACCAGCCGAGGCCCAAACTTGTGTTTTCGTGACCTGTCCAGCCGGTGGTGAGCCCTCCAAAGTTTCAAACGGTACAAGCGCTCCAGAAGGGAAGGTTTTGCAGTACCTAAAAACTAGCCCGGAAGAAACCTGGGCACGCAGCGCTTAGGGGCTTTGCACTGATGCTTTGTCGCTCCTAATTAATTTTTTTTTCTTTTTGGCATGCGGGAATCACAACATGGATCTTGTGCAGAGCACGTGATAACACAGGTGTCTGTTCTGACTACATGTGTTTGGAGCCAGTCTGCAAAACCCCGTGCCGCGAGATACGGCCATGAAATGCCACAGCTTGTTCTTTGTGTATAGTTGATGGGTGTCTTTTTTTTGTTTTGGTTTGGTTTTTTTGTTTTTAAACCTCCTTGTTGTAGATCGTTTGTGAGTAACCCACTCTATTCCCACGTAGAAGAAATAAGGTTGGCACACTGGTGAGGCAGAGCAGAACAGGATGTTCTCATTCTCATTAGACCTCTATTGTTTCATTGATTGGACTGAATGAGGAAGAGAGCAACTGGCCAGGATGGCAATCAAGACTAATTAGGCATTTCCTCAGTGATCCATATCTGGCTGAGCAGCCTCACAAACTTAGGGCCAGAACTGTTTTCACCCAAATAAAGAGGACTGCAGAAGCTGTTCTTGCCCACCGCTGCAGGTCTCAAAAACCAAGTGGGCTTTCCCCAGCCCGCTCCTCTTCTGAAATGCGGCATGGTAGCACAGCTCTACAGCACCATTTTCTAATGGCGCTCACATCGGTGTCCGCCTAGTGTTTAACAATGAGGTATGTGTTAATCTGGGCATTTTACTTGCTTGTAATGGCCCCTTCAGCCAAAACTAACAACGCAAAATCCCTCTCACCCAGAGTCATTGCTGGCTAAGGAATTACCCCATCTGTAAAAATATTAAATGTTTCAAAAATCAGTGTAGCGAAGTAAACTGATCTAATCGGAGTAATTGCAGGAAAGTGGGATGGGTTTATGTTGTGACATCAGCCCTGCAAAGTTAATACTCCGTCTCCCTGGACGGGCACAGTTTGCTAACGAGCAGGAATTTGCTTTCATGTCTGTCATCAGTGTTAAAAAAAATAAACATATTTACAGTGTGTTTATTAAATTAAACCTGAGCGTATTAAGCTGAAAACAGACCGGGGAAATTACCGCATGCTTGTCTTAAGTTACAGTTATTTACTTTACTCTGACGCACACGCTGGCAAAACACCTCCCCTTGACTCCGCAGAACAGCTTAGTGTTGCCACGCCGTGTTGCAGGACACGGCTCGGAAGATTGATAAGGTGATTAGCGTTTGAAAACGAAGGGAAAGCTCTGGGGGTGCTCACCTCCCCTGACCTGCGTTCTCCTTTATCAGGGACCGTATCTCGTGTGTTTGAGCAGTGACTGATTTCTCGACTCCTTCCTTCTTCAGGGTGGCGGGATGTACACAGCAGTGCCTCAGACTGACCCCTCGGAGTGTATCAACTGCCGAAATTGTCGGAACAATAACAGGTAACGGAAGGCATACACGTAGCCGCAGGACCCCTACAAACAGAAGCCCTTATTTTATATCCCACGTTGAAGATGGGAAAACCAAAGCAGAGAGCTTGTGGCCTGACTGAGGATTACAGGGCAGGCGAATGTATTTTGCCGTGACTCTTGAGAAGCAACCGCTTGGCTGTTGTTTGTGGGATAGAATAAAATGAGTTATTAACCCCCCAGAACACCTTTAGAGAGAATCAGCTGGTTATTTTGAGAAAAAAACAGTGAGGCAGGTTGGGTGCTGGACGACGACTTTGTTCTGTGTTTTCTTCAGTTTTGAGATAGCAAAATCCGCTTGGTATGGACGGACAGTTTGTCAAATACAATTAAATCGATCTTTTGTATTTTGCATTTCCTGCCATTCTTTTAAGAGTGCCAGCAAACTAGAATGGCAGCATTGGTTTCACAACGCAGTTCTTTGTAAAACGTAAGATTTGAGACGTTTTGGGCCTTCAGGAGAAGGTTGGCCAGCTGTTGCCAAGTGTGGGATGTATTTCTGCATGAGAAAGAAGACCCTTGTATACGATGATAAGGGAAGGTCCCGTCTTCTACGCTGTGGTTGGCAGTCTGGATTTTTATTAGGTTCTTAACTTTCAAAAATAAAAAAAAAAATCCAAGTTTTCCACTAAACTTTTTTTTACTTCCGTAAATACATGAGTAAGTGTGATGGGAACAGGGAGTTAACTCGTAGGTAGACCTGAGCGTGCTTTCTCCAGGGCAATGTCACAGGTAGTCTATAGGGGAAGAGAGCTTCCGTTTCCTTAAGCCAGTTGTCTCTGTTTTCAAGGCAGACCACGTAGCCGCAGTCAAGATGTGCACAACTGGCTGTAATTTGGAACATGCTGTATGTGTTACGTAGTAATTAATAGCTTGTTTTCCAGTTTTAAGCATATGTAAAGTTTTAATTTCTTCCCTTTTCTTAAGAAGAACAGGGAAAATGGGATCTCTCTTGGGCAACTGTAATGTTCCTCCCAGATGGGTCATCAGCAGTGTTTGAACTTTGACTTTTCAGACCCCTGTTCTATATTTGACTGCTCGATACAGAAACAAGTTGTCCTTTACAGCTGCCTGGCCCAGAGGGGAATATTAACCTCCCTTTGGCAAGGGAGATGCGCAGCCGTTTGGGAGCTGGGACCGCTTGATTGTGTTCCTCGTAGTGGGGGAATGAAAGGAGGACAGGGAGAAGGGAACAGAGAGAACCGGAAGCGTCTCTGAATGTTACACCAGAGACCTGTGAGTTATATTTATGGCCGCGAAGGAGGAGAAAGGCCTAATGGCTAGCGCAGTCAAGCAAGTAGGTTTGGGCAGGTGGGAATTAGGGGCTGGGGTTCTTTCCCCACCTTTGCCCTACTCGGGAGCGTTTCAGGTGCATTCGGCCTTGCGCGTACGTTACACCTTGATGCTGCTAGCCCCTAAATCAGCGTATTTCCACTGAACGCCTGGAATTGTTGCTGATACGGGGTTAATTTAGTAGTTGGTGTGAATTTTGACCGAGCGCAAACGAATTCATTTTGAAGATTTAGTATACTTAATAGGTGGCTACCAGAGCTGGTTTCGGCAATAGCCATCTCGGAGCAGGTTCTTATTACGGTGGTGAAATCCCTTGGTCTTCTGTTTAAATTAGCACTTCATGCTCTCATTACTGCGCGTGGAGGCTTGCCAGAGGTAGAAGTTGCTGAAATGTGAATACTCATTTTGCTGTTGTGGACAAAGCCTAGAAGACGAGAGTGATTTATGCTTATTATGTTAGGCCTGAGACCTGTTTTTTTTTTTTTTCCCCCTTCATTCTCTGGTCATTTTGCACCCCTCCTTAAAGTTTTCTAGATAAGCGATTGTTGCGAAGGAGCGCACATGCTTGCAATTTCTCTCTTTGCAAATTCACTTTGCTCTGGCACGTCTTTGTACTCTGACCGCAAATCTGAAATATGCATTCCAAATGAGCTGGTATAGTCCTGCTTGCCCAACTCTTTAAGTCATCCTGATGTGGGCTTTTAAGTCAGATTATGGTTTAATGGCAGGATTTTAGCAGCGAGATGCGATACAAGATGTATTTTCTGCGTTAGAGATTTTACACTACCATTCACACCTACTCCGCTCTGGAGATACGTGACTAGTTTCCATCAGAACGTGGTTATTTAAGTTTAAAAAGCTGAACGGGATCTCTTACAGCTTTGTTCAAGCTAGCACAATAGTACAAAGAATTGTACTGACATCTGCCTTTAAAAAGGAAGTCCCATAAACATGCAAAACCAAACATTTTTAAAATGGGTTTCTCTAAGAATTTTTTTAAATAATAAGTGAGTGTAGTCAAAACCTCTGTGGAAAGAAATGCAAACTAATAAATGGATTTGTTTGAAGACCAGATGTGTTTCATGTGGATTCTTCAGTGGCTTTTGTGGTATTTTGGTACTTGGAATAATAATTTGGAGGCAGTTATGTAAACGGAAGGACAAAATAGGGAAGCTGCCGAGCACTGTGAGACTAGGTGCTGCTCTGTCCTAGGATTGCTTGGGAGGGGAGCAGATTTCTGGGGTGCCCCTTCCTTCGTAGGGCTCCCTGGGGCCACCTGAACTCCTGTTTCAGCTCTTGTCCCATGTTTTGGTTCGCTCCAAATTGTCTGTGAATGAAACGTTTGGTGCAGGGGAACTTGCTTCGCCTCTGCGTCGAGAAAGTTGTTTTAAGTTTATACCGGCTGTTTTGTTTCTCTTTAGGTCTAGCAATATTGATTGCACTTTGCAGGTGAAAAAGGAAACTGAGGCTCTGAAGAAGTTTGGAGTACGAGTTCCTCAGGGGTGTGATGTTTTTACCCATGGCTGTGACCTTTATTGGAATGAATGTTTTATGGGAGTTGGACAGTAGTTGCCAAACTTAATTCCTCCCCACGCAACTTGCAAATCTGAGTGTATTAAATCAGTTTTGGAGTCTAGTACTTTGCCAAGGGATCAGCTGCTATCAAAGCAGCTTCTGATAGCAAATACCCTGTTGTGGTTGATGGCAAAAGTAAGTGTGTGTGGTTTGGTTTTGTTTTTTTTTTTTTTTGCCTTTGTCAGCAGTGTAAAGATCAACTCTGCTCCGTTTTGGGGCAGAATCGCTCAAAAGAAACAGTTTGTGCTACCGGATAAACTAGCTAGCAGCTGAACAACCAGGCTACTGGCTTCAATTTGTGTGTTTCATAGCTTTTATAGATACATTAGCATTCCAGCTGTTTTCAGTCACTATAGATATGATAGGTATTCTAGCTCTGTGAAAGTCGTGCTGCAAATTGCACGAAATGGCCTTAAGTATGTACGGCCATGCTTTTGTGGCCAGAGACACTGCTAAAATTAGCTTACTTAGGGGGGGAAAAAAAGTACTCACTGATTTCTGGATGGATTCCTTTTCGGGAGTAAACCTGTAACTTGTCACGCGCAGTAAGTTTTTCTGTTACATGTCTGTTAAACACCTTCTGAGCCCACGTGGAATAGTGCGCAGTTGTGGGCGCCAACCCAAAATGCCAGTGCTTAGGTAACTACTTAGTAAGTAGTAATAAACAATCGGATATAATAGTGAGATGGATCGGGCTTGTCATCGTGAGCAGAGCAGGCGACAGTTATATTTAGGTTTGGCAGCAATAAAAAGGCTCTGACTTGTATCCATTTGGCCTATCAGCGTATAATTTGTGTGTAAAACCTGAAGCCTCTTTAACCGCGTGAGTGCTTCAGAGCATCTTTGGCTAACAGCGCTGATGAGCATGCTCCCCTCTCTGGGCTTGCTCACACCAGACAATAGTGTCGCTGCACTGTTTTCCTTCCTTATTTCGATGTTGAGGGGTTTGATGTAATGAATGATTCAGGTTGCTAATGATGGAAATGTGCAGTATTCCCCTGAAAGGATGTAGTCATAGCACTTATTTGTCTTTCTGGGTAGTCTCCCAGTGTTAGGTAACAGCTCTAAAGGTGTTACCTGTGCAGTAACTCTGGTTTCGTATACCGTCGCACCAAAGTGTCTGCTTTGGGGCTTTCTTATATTGAAATTGCTTCTTTAAGAGTTGCACGTGTAAGCTCTTGACTCACTGTTGTCCAGGGAGCTGCAACGCTATAGGCGTGTTCACTGCTTACTGTAATGGTACACATATGTATTAAGGTCTTTAGCTCGCTCCCCTTTGTGTAAAGGTTAAATAGCTTTGCTATAACAATTGGCGCAGCAGTCTAACTTCAGTTGCACTTCCTTAACCAAGTATTGTAGGGCCACAGTCTGAGTAGTGCAGCGGGGAGAAGTTACGTTTATAACATTGAACATATTTTAAGTTTGCCTTCACTCTTAACATTTAGCATTTATTTTCTAAGTTAAGTCAAGTTTGGGCTTCAAACTCGAGCTCCTTTTCTTGGCAATGAAAATCTGTTTTCTGGGGCTGCTTCGATGAAGGAGCGGGCTTGCAGTTCGGGTCATCGGGTCACAGTAGGTGGGGGAAATAACTGGGTAAATGTTTTGAATGCTTTCAGCTGTCTGTTGGGAGGAAGAAATGCTTAATCCTCTCATTAATGCCAGAATTGATCCCAAAAATATATTTAAAACTTACTTGGCAAGCTCTCTTACTGCTGTTACAGTAAATGACACATGGTGAAGTACTTAAAAATTGCAGTTTCTCAAAATATCTTAAGTGCTGGAAAGAAGAAATGTGCGAGTGATCAGGCCTCTGAGTAATTCTGGTTTGGCTTCCGTCCACAGGTGTTTCACCAAAACCAATGGCACTTTTAGCAGCAGCACACTACCTGTCGTGCCCATCGTAGCACCTTACCAGCAGGACAGTTTGGAGATGAAACCTCTGAACCACGTCATGGTGGCCATGTGCTTAGCCTCCACGGTCCCAGAATGCAGCGCTCGGCTAGAGGAAGACAGCAAAGAAAAAGCGGAGCAGCCCTCCGCCCAGCACTCGTGCTGCCGAGAGAACCTGAATCAGCTCTCCATAGATTGCACAGAAGGTAAGTCATTAGGCAGGGAGTAGCGCCTGGCTTTAAAGCCAGGTATATGCTGTAGAACAGCTGTAGGGCGCTTTAATTTATTGCAGGGAAGCTAGTAATTAGGCCCACAAAAGACCTGGCTTTTGGAAAAGAGGAGGCGTTCCACTGTTCCCATTGCAGAAAATGGAGGCAGAGATGCTCAGGTGCCTGTGACTGTCATGCCCTTGGTGACTGATGCCTTTAAACGGAGCTCATCTAGCAGATGCGCTCCAGATAACGAGGCTGCGACTGATTTATGCTGGCTGGCACTTGCCTGTACCTACAGCCTACCCATGATCTCCCGAACCAGATGTGTACCGCTGAAATGCTGCCTAATGGAGTTGCTCCTAACGAGCAGGCACCCGTGACGGCCTAGAGCCATCCCGTAGGCGCGAACAGGCACGGAGTGGCAGATGGAAGTTAGACTGGGAATCCCAAAGTAATTAATGTGACCTATTGGATATCGGTCCGGTCAGTGCGCTTGGACAGAGCTGATGCTCTGAACTAGTGCCTAATGCTTTGCCTAGGCTTTGTGCCTGGTAGAGCGTGAATAAATCTGTGTATTAATCTGAATTTGTTGTGCTTGTGGGTCTGGTGAGCTGGAAGAGGAGATGACATGCCAAAAAACCCGACTTGCTCTTGCTTTGCAGGTGACAGCTGCCTGCATTCAGAAACATCGAACCACGTTTTGAGCTGGAGTCCCCTTATTCTGCAGCCTGTTTCAAAGGACTGTAATGAAAAGCCAGGATGGAAATCATCTGGAGTCACTTTAAACAGTTCTGGGGACCTCCGACAGCTCCAGCTACAGGAGACCTGAGGAAGTGACCGTTTTCTCCACTTAAAGCCAGTAACTGCACAGCAGCGTCACTGAAAGGGACTGATGGAGGGATGTTAATTATAACAGAGAGAGTCACTATTTATTTTTTGTAGTAGTGTCATATGAATGTATCTTGTTTTTAAAATGGTTGCCTTTTTATATTATTTATGCCTTGAAATTCCTTTTTTTTCCCCATGCACCATAAAACTAGCCTGATTATGTGTTTTAAAAAAAAAAAAAAGTAATAATATAAAGAACAACGGGAAATATGTAGTGTGGTTTCCATGGAATATTACCAGTGAGAGAAGCACTTCTGCGGAGAGAGGCGGAAGCGCCTAATACACGGATGTAACGGAGCGGAGCAGACCTCCGCAGTTCTGAAGTTCATAAGAGTTTACGGCCGCCCTCGAGAGCTGCCGCGTTGCTGGCGTTTGTTGCGGTCCTCGAACGCTCGCTTCCATGAATGCATCTGATCCTCTTCCAGTTTCTCCAGGAAGAAGCTGATGGAAAGAGGGCAAATAACGGACCGGGGGTAGAAAAATGAACCCCAGCTGATCTACCAGCTGGTGCAACTGGATGAATTGGGTACGACTCCCGAGGCAGAGCTCAGGGTTAAGTTGGTTGCTGTGTGTATCGGTAGTTGTTCACCAGTATTTTGATACTCCTTGCAATTTTTTTTTTTTTCCCAAAGCACACGCAAAAACGCAGCCTGTCTCGCCTCCCGAGAGGAACGGGTCGTTAACAGGGCCTCAGTCCTCCAGCCAGCGATCAAAATAATCCCACGGGATGTGGGACTGCGGCTGGGGCTGATTCAGAGCGTGCCTGCCCTGAGGGTCTCTTCGAGCAGCCTCTTCCCCCGGTGCTGTGCGGAGGGCTGAGCAGCGCCTTGCCCTGGTGAGCCGACCCCGTCTCGTGACCCCCCTCACCCTCCTCATCCCCCAGGTGCCCCCGCAAAGCAGGAGGCACAGGGATAAAGGGGAGACGCTGAAGTCCCTGCCGCCAAAAGGGGCGAAGGCGACGCGCGGGGCCCTTTGCAGCGTGCCTCCCGCGTCTGCCCTCCTGCCTCGGAGAGAGAAAGGGGGATGCTGGTCGCCGGACTGTTTGCCTTTGCCCCCTACGTTAAACAGGTCCTTGCAAAAGCCCTGCAGCTCAGCCCGGCACCTGCGGCATGACGTAGGTGGTGTAACCGTCACCCCCCCCCCCCCGGGCCCTCTGTTTTTTT